CTCACATCATACCTCATTAACGGGCAGGAAAACGATGGGGAGGCCCCGACGAAACGTTGTGCGCGCATCCTTTAGCTAGACAACGATGTTTTCAAATTTGTTGTAGTCCCAACCGTTCGCCCTCAAATCGCCTGGAACTGGGGCCGTGCAGAGCCTCCCGGCGGCCCGCCGCTGCGTCCCGCCCACCCGCTCCTCCCCCCGCTCCGGGCAGCGGCTCTGTCTGTCTCTCTCGCACTCACGGGCCGGACAGGGATGGCGCGCGGCGTTGGGCGCGTCAAGGAGCAAAACTAAACATTTAATTTAAAGCATTTCAAAAATTGCTACGCAAAAAAAATTTCTGTGTCGTATAGATACTCTTGTCTACTACCACATATCCGAAATCCAGTCTTTGGACTCTCATCGGAACCAAGTGGGACGTGAATAATAAGAAAATTTACCCGTTTTCTTTTAACTGTTGCCGTGGGTGAACGGTTCGACCAAAACGTGTCGCGAATGGTGCATTTTGTTCGGATAAGTACCTGTTTAACACATGACAAAGGAAATAAACACGCGATTTACGGTCTCCTCAGGGCATAAAGATTTTGTATATTTTGTGAAATTCCCAATCAACAATAAAGTAGACTTGAATGCCATCATCGTAAAACGCGTGTTTATTTCCTTTGTCATGTGTTAAACAGGTACTTATCCGAACAAAATGCACCATTCGCGACACGTTTTGGTCGAACCGTTCACCCACGGCAACAATTAAAAGAAAACGGGTAAATTTTCTTATTATTCACGTCCCACTTGGTTCCGGTGAGAGTCCAAAGACTGGATTTCGGATATGTGGTAGTAGACAAGAGTATCTATACGACCCCAAAAAAAATTTTCGCGTAGCAATTTTTGAAATGTTTTAAATTTAATGTTTAGTTTTGCTCCTTGACGCGCCCAACGCCGCGCGCCATCCCTATCCGGCCCGTGAGTGCGAGAGAGACAGACAGAGCCGCTGCCCGGAGCGGGGGGAGGAGCGGGTGGGCGGGACGCAGCGGCGGGCCGCCGGGAGGCTCTGCACGGCCCCAGTTCCAGGCGATTTGAGGGCGAACGGTTGGGACTACAACAAATTTGAAAACATCGTTGTCTAGCTAAAGGATGCGCGCACAACGTTTCGTCGGGGCCTCCCCATCGTTTTCCTGCCCGTTAATGAGGTATGATGTGAGACATCCGAAATTGAACAAGGAAATTTGTCAGTTTTCTCTTCAGCTCAAGATTTTGATCGGAGGTAATATTTTATCGCGCCTTCTGATGATTGGAGCTTGTTCTACGTTCCTTCCCGAACATTTTGGCGCTTGTCTCGTCTTTCTAGCACAAATACTTTGGAAGCTACAACCAGTACCGCAAACCCCTGCATTTAGGCCCTTTTTGTTCAATATCTCAAATCGCACACGTTTCCCGGCTGGGGACTAAAATTTAGCTGAATGGGGAGGAGCTATTCTACCAGTGTACAAAAATTCAGCCATACACAATTTTATTGCGCAATGAGGCCTTATTTTGCCTTCGTGTCCTGGGCTAAAGCCCAGCCCGGCTCGGCCCGGCGGCGTGGCGGTGCGCGCCGCGGCTGCTCGCCGCGGCTGCTCGCCGCCGAGGGAGCGACACAGAAGTGCGCAAGATTCTAAGAATAGCCCCGGCGTGGCCCGCGCTCGCCACTGTCTCCTGCCAGCGCTGGGCTGGGCGGGCGCCCTCTGCTACTTCTGCGAGTCAAGGCAGTGGCGCGACCCCCCACCTCTCTCGTGGCGGTCGAATCAGTTATTGCCCTAGGCGAGCGGGCGCTACGAGTCACCTCTCTTATTAGATCACTTTGGAAATCCGCCCGCGCCCGCGGGGTCGGTCTCAACTCCAGGCGTGAGTCAGAGCAGGGCGTTCGGGGAACACTGAGACCACCACCACCAGGACCTCGGTGCTCCTCGCCTTGGCTATTCCACCAGGACCTGCTCGTCCTGCAGTGGGGCAGTGGGGCGTCTCCAGAGGTGTAGACCGTTCCCGTCGTGCCTCGATTGTGATATTGAATACACGGGTCACGCTCAGACAGCCGTCGCCACGACAAAGTGTCGCGGGGTTATAGCACTACTTTCATCTGAGCCCCACATAGGCGAGAACAAAGCATCATCATCATCATCATTTTCTTCACTATGCTCTATTTTCTCCCGGCATTTCTTTCGCATGTGTATGTTTAGTTTTTTGCTCGCTCTGAGCGCCTGCCTTGAGGATGAAATTACCCAGTCGTGTCCAGCAGGAGCGCACACCCCTCCCCGCCCCCACCCTCTGCGACACGCCCCCGGTGCGTCCCGGTGGGGGCCATGTGTGGCGTGCGGGGTGTAGCCCAGGAAACCAAGTCAAAATATGGCCCTTACCCTAAATAAAAATGCAGAAAGCTGGAAAATTGAACACTTATAGAGCTCGTCATGCTGATTAACCTCATTTTTTTTCCACCTCGAAAAACTTGAGCTGACCGAGATATTGAACATAAAGGGCCTAAATGCTGGGTTTTGCGGCATCAGCCACAGCTCCCAAACTATTCGTGCGAGAGAGACGAGACAAGTGTCATCATGTCCGGGAAGAAACGCAGAACAAGATCCAGTCAACAGTCAGCGCGCAAACGGATCATTTCTGGCCAAAAACTTGAGTCGAATAGAAACATTTCAATTTTCCTTGTTCAATTTTGTAAATCTCACATCATATCTCGTAAATGAGTGCGGAAACGACAAAGCCGTCCCGACAGAACGTTGTGCGCTTATCCTTTAGCTACGCAACGGTGTGCTTACGATTCATGTAGCCCCAACTGTTCACGTTCAAATCGACTTAAACCAAACCCGTGCAGAGCCTCCCGGCGGCCGGCCGCTGCACCCCGCCCACCCGCCCCTCCCCCCGCTCCGGGCGGGCGGCTCTGTCTGTCTCTCTCGCACTCACGGGTACGGACAAGGATGGCGCGCGGCGCTCGGCGCTCGAAGGAGCAAAACTAAACATTGAATTTAAAGCTTTTTAAAAATTGTAAGTGAAACGTAATTTTGTGCATCGTGTAGATACGCTAGCCCACTACAACATATCCGAAATCCAGCCTTAAGACTCCCACCTGAACCGTGTGGGACGGAAATAATAAGAAATTGGACCCTTCTTCTTTGAACGGCCGCCGTGGGTGAACGGTTTGACCAAAACATGTGCCGACTGTTGCATTTCGTTCGGCAAACTGACTATTTATCTCATGTCGGAGGAAATAGACCGGTGTGGTGTAGTCACTGCAGAAATGTGTACTCTATTGGTTCTAGTAAATTGTACAAAATGTTTAAAAACTTTCAACCCTACGCATTTCCGTCCTATCGGTCTCAAGTAAACTTTATTAATATGTACATTATAGAGAATAACCTCACGTACATAATTAGCTTGTTCTTTTCCCGCTGCGTGCGTACAGCACAGCCTCAGAGCTCTGTCGAATGCAGGTCTGACGCGCTGCGGCGAGGCGCGTAGGGGCTGCTCTCGCGCGTTTGAGGTACCGCACAAGCCAAAATATCTACTGTATTGAATGGAACCCAATGACCATCCTGAAGAAAACCGCTCACACTACGACTTCCCCACTACCGCAGTTCTGGAGAGGCCGATAGATCGGGAATGCGTAGGGTTGAAAGTTTTTAAACATTTTGTACAATTTACTGGAACCAATAGAGTACACATTTCTGCAGTGACTACACCACACCGGTCTATTTCCTCCGACATAAGATAAATAGTCAGTTTGCCGAACGAAATGCAACAGTCGGCACATGTTTTGGTCAAACCGTTCACCCACGGCGGCCGTTCAAAGAAGAAGGGTCCAATTTCTTATTATTTCCGTCCCACACGGTTCAGGTGGGAGTCTTAAGGCTGGATTTCGGATATGTTGTAGTGGGCAAGCGTATCTACACGATGCACAAAATTACGTTTCACTTACAATTTTTAAAAAGCTTTAAATTCAATGTTTAGTTTTGCTCCGTCGAGCGCCGAGCGCCGCGCGCCATCCTTGTCCGTACCCGTGAGTGCGAGAGAGACAGACAGAGCCGCCCGCCCGGAGCGTGGGGGAGGGGCGGGTGGGCGGGGTGCAGCGGCCGGCCGCTGGGAGGCTCTGCACGGGTTTGGTTTAAGTCGATTTGAACGTGAACGGTTGGGGCTACATGAATCGTAAGCACACCGTTGCGTAGCTAAAGGATAAGCGCACAACGTTCTGTCGGGACGGCTTTGTCGTTTCCGCACTCATTTACGAGATATGATGTGAGATTTACAAAATTGAACAAGGAAAATTGAAATGTTTCTATTCGACTCAAGTTTTTGGCCAGAAATGATCCGTTTGCGCGCTGACTGTTGACTGGATCTTGTTCTGCGTTTCTTCCCGGACATGATGACACTTGTCTCGTCTCTCTCGCACGAATAGTTTGGGAGCTGTGGCTGATGCCGCAAAACCCAGCATTTAGGCCCTTTATGTTCAATATCTCGGTCAGCTCAAGTTTTTCGAGGTGGAAAAAAAATGAGGTTAATCAGCATGACGAGCTCTATAAGTGTTCAATTTTCCAGCTTTCTGCATTTTTATTTAGGGTAAAACCCTTGGTTTCCTGGGCTAGTGGGCCGGGCGGGCGCAGCCAGGGTGAGCCAGGGCGCAGGCAGCCACCTGTGCAATGTGGGTTTCGAACTCCAGACCGCCTCCTGGAGCTGCCGCGCAGGGCGACGGGAGCAGGCAAACAATCCAGGAGGACGGCCCTGGAGGCGTGTCCTTTACTAGGAAGACCTCCGAGACCAATTGAGGCGTGTCGTGCAGCCGTGGCGCAGACGTACGGGCCGGGCCGGGTGCCGTGCTGGTGGCCATGTGTGTGCGAGAGAGAGAAGAAGAGGGGAAGGGGGGAGGGGGGGGCTCATTTAGAAGTTGAAGCGTCCTGTCGTCCAGCGCCCCGCTGGTCCTGCCCGCCAGTCCTGGCGGCGGAGTGCGAGGATGGCAGCCCCGCTGTGCGCCCGTGCACGTCATGTCGCGCCCGCCCGTGCCCCCGAGGCCGTCGCCCGCGTCCTCGACGCCCACGTCGCCCAGGTCGCCGGCGACCCCGCGGCTGTCGCGGGTGCCTCCCACCGCCGTCTCGCCGTACGCGTGTCCCCCGTCGCCGTCGTGGAGGCCCGCAAGGGCCGTTACGACCGCCAAATCGCCCTACGACTGTCCGCCACCGCCCACCAGGATGTCGCCGTACGCCTGCCCGCCGCCCCCCGTGGCCGCGGTGCCCACCCCATGGTCGCCGCGGGGCTCGTCCAGGGCTTCGCGGTTCCTCTTCCCGCCGGCCGAGGCATGCGCGAGCCCGCCGCTGCCGCCCGCCAAGACGCGCAGGGCGCCAGCCGTGGCCTCGGCGCCATCGCCGTACGCGTGCCCGCCCCCTCCACGGCCGCGCTCCACCTGGATGCCTGGCGCCCTCTCCGGCACTCGCGTCGCCGTCGAGCCCCCGAGATCCCCAGCCACCTTGCCGTCGCCCCCGGAAGGCGACACATCCGCCGACGAGGACGGCGATGAAGACATGGTGGTCCTCCGCGGCCTGCACGCCGTGACATACGCCATCCCGAGGCCCCCGGGGCCCTTCTCCACTCCGCCCGCACCGCGGCGCCGCCCCTGGCGCCCGCCGTCGTCCGGGCCGTGCTCGCCGCGGCTCTCCCACCGCCTGAGCGCCGCGCTGTCTTCCTTCGTGGACTCGGCCATGACGTCGCCGTCGCTGGTGCGCAGCCAGCTGCAGCGCTCGCTGCCGCTGCTGCGCCGGGCGCGGCCTGCACCGCTGCCGCAGGTGTCTTCCCCCGTGGCGGGCACCTTCCGCGTCAACCCGCCGCGCGCCGTGCTCACGGAGCCGCCGCCCGTGTTCGAGCGCGCCGCGTCCCTGTCGTGCCTGCCGCTGCCCCCGCGGCCGCCTCCCCCGGACCGGCCGCCGCCCCCGCGCGCGCCCGACAAGGTGCTGCGAGCCGGCGGGTACGTCGGCGACGTCGGCGACGCCGTGCTATGCGAGTGCCGGTGGCGCCTGGGCGCCGCGCTCGTCCGCCTCAAGCAGGTCCGCTCCGTGGACGTGATGGTGTCCGACCGGCTGCGGGAGGAGCTGCGCGGCGTGTGCGTCGCCTGTCAGGTCCGACGCCGCCAGGTCAGTGCAGCTCGAGTGCGCGGCGTATTAGTTTGTTGTGTCTGCGCGTCTCATCCTAAAGGACTGTCGTGCGCGTATCGGTTTCCACTAATGCGATCACCGTGGGGCTGGTGTGCTGGTGCGGCTCGTCTCGAATGTCACACCGCGCGGCTCGAGCTCAGCGGAGCCCGCCGAGCACACCGCGACTCAACGGCCTGTTTGTCAGCCGAGTCGCTACTCGCACCCCGCCAATAATCCCCCGCAATAGTGCTTATTGGCGAACCAACCCCCACACCGGTCTGCCAATTTTTTACTGATCCCCTCTCTCATGTCATGTGGTGTGTGAGTGTGGCGAAAAAGTGTGTCCCACCGATAAAGGGCAAGGCATGCTGCGCGTGTACAGCGCCCGACTCTGCAACAAACGTGTGAAACTGTCTTGCACGTTTGCACCTCGCCTCTCCCGGTGTGGCTTCCCCTGGCGCGTTTTTCTAATTGGATGGGGCCTGCCGAGCCCCCCGGCGGCGTCCGCCGTGTCCTGCACGGTGTCGTTGTGCCCTCCCGAGACTCTCCCTGCGGATGCGGGGTAAAAAACTGGCCTGCCGGCCGGTAGAGAGACAGTCCAGCAAACTGAGGGTGAGAATAATTTACACATTTACCGACAATTTACAAATAACAAGTTAGACATTTACTTACAATTTACAAATAACAAGTTACACATTTACTTACAATTTACAGATGATTACAATGATTTACACATACTCCATGGACACAATTACAAATAACAAGTTACACATTTACTTACAATTTACAAATAACAAGTTACACATTTACTTACA